TCAACCGTCCGTGCACGGGATTCGAGACATAACTTGTGTGTTAGTGTATGGATCTCTCTGACATTGTACCACAAGGTTCCATATCACACAGGGAATGCTGGGATTGATTTGGGGGGTAATTGCCTCAAAATACTAGGAATTAGGGGCCAATAAAGGGGCAACAAAACAAGCATTTTTCTAGTTTCATGACAATAACTTGTGTGTAAGTGTATGGATCTCTCTGAAATTGTACTACAAGGTTCCATATCACAAAGGGAAAGCTGGGTTTGAGTTTGGGGGTAATTGCCCTAATCGTTTAGGAATTTGGGGCCAAAAAACAAGCATTTTTCTAGTTTCCAGACAAAAACTCGTGTTCAAGAGTATGGATCTCTCTGAAATTGTACTGCAGGTACCATACCACAAAGGGAAGGCTGGGATTGAGTTTGGGGATGATGAATCATAAGGGGGTTCAAAAAATTTTGGGGGGGATTTTTTTTTCTTTAAAATTTTCCATTTTAAATTGGTTATTTCTGATTTATATATAAAAGCAAATAATAATGATATGGTTTGAATAGGTAAATTAAAAAATTTTGAGTTCTTAGACCACATTCATTCTGTGTCAGAAACCTGTGCTGTGTCAAATATTTAATCACAATCCAAATTCAGTGCTGTATCAAGCTTGAATGTTGTGTCCATACTTGCCCCAACTGTTCAGGGTTCGACCTCTGCTGTCGTATCAAGCTGCGCCCAGCGGAGCATTTTATTAATACTGTTGGGGAATTACTATTTAGAATTGATATGAGCAAGTTATATGATAAGGAAAGTAATTTGTTGTTCAATAGAACATTATTTAATTTTTTAATGAGGTTATCTCTCAAATATTTAAAGGATGAACATTCTAAAAGAAAATGTAGTTCATCTTCAATGCCTCCATTGTTGCACTGAGCAAAGACATATACTACTCTGCTTCGGTATATTAACATATCGCCCTCTCAGTTCAACAGATACAGTATGCGCACTCATCCTTTAAGTTAACTTACATAATGTTGATCCGTGTCACAGTCGGATTTGCATTAATTGATCAACTATTATATGCAACATATCGAGCACGAATTATCAGGGATGCACACACATAAAATAGTTTATTCCATATTGGTTTTATTTTAGTACGTTTTCTCTTTATGAATTGGATTTTGAATAAAAAAGCATATTCACCTGGAAAAAAGTGATATTCACCGCGGTTTGATATACAATTGGTTTTGGTAAATATTTGATATCAAATACATTGTTTTTTCTGGGAAAATGGAATAAAACAATAACTGTCTTTTGTTTCGGTAAATATGTGGTTAAATTGACTTTTGAAAAACTGATATTCACTTCGGCCGTCGGCCTCAGTGAATATCAGTTTTTCAAAAGTCAATAAAACCGCATATTTACCTCATCAAAAGATAGTAATTGTATATTATTCCTTATTGGTATTATTTGAGACGGTTTCTCTTTATGGATTGGATCTTGAATAAAACGGCATATTCGCCTGGAGAAAAGTGATCATTCACCGCGCTAAACGTCTCGCGCTTTTACGTGTATAACGTTTTAGTAAAATGTTTGATGTACAATTTGGTAAATATTTTCATTAAAATACTAGTACATTGTTTTCTCTCGGAATATGGAATGACATGGCTGAAAATAGAACATAGGGGTAAAATGTATGTTTTGTGAAAACCGCTATCAATAGACAAAATCTGACAGTCGCAAAAATGATCAAAAATATAACATCTACATATTGTATGTTTCCATCAAAACTGTCAGACGACTTATTATAGGAGTTATTGCCCTTAAATGACAAAGTTTACCAATTTTTGGCGGTTTTGGCAAATAACTTAACAACAGTAATAGGTAGATGGAAATTCAAAAAAGGGAAAAAGATCAGCAAGACAAGATCTACAAATTAGTCAGTATGATCGAAATCGTTCGATGACTTCTTATTGGAGTTATTGCCCTTTAATGATGATTTTTGCTAATTTCTTTTTTCGTTTTTGCAGAATATCTTAAAAATTGTAATAGATAGATAAAAACTTAAACACGGTAAGCAAAAATTACCATCAAGACAAGATCTACAAGATGTTGTAAGGCTGAAATCCTCCGATGACTCCTCATTGGAGTTATTATAAAAATAAGAAGATGTGGTATAATTTCCAACGAGACAACACTCCACAAGAGACCAAATGACATAGAAATTAACAACTATAGGTCACCGTACTGCCTTCAACAATGAGCAAAACCCATACCGCATAGTCAGCTATAAAAGGCCCCGAAATGACAAATGTAAAACAATTCAAACGAGAAAACTTGCCCGTTAATGGCGATTTTTTATTATTTTTTTGGTATTTTAAATTGGTGACTTTTAGTCTAATATCTTAACAACAATAATTATTATAGATAGACGGAAACTTAAATTATCGAAAGTGATCAGCAAGACAATATCTACAAATAAGTTAGCATAGTCGAAATCGTTTGACGACTCCTTATTGCAGTTATTGCTTTCCAATGGCGATTTTTACAAAGTTTTAGTGTTTTGCCTATTATCATGAAGAGTATATAGTAGATGAATATACACATTAAACTGCACAATCATCAGCAAGACTAGTTCTACAAATAACTATTGGAGTTATTTCCCGTAAGCGGTATTTTTTACTTCTTTTTTTTTTCGTTTTTGCCGAATATCTTAAAAACTGTAATAGATAGATAAAAACTTAAATAATAAAAAATGATCAGCAAGAAAAAAGGATCTAAAAATAAATTGATATGATTAAAATCGTCTGTTGACTCTTTATTGGAGTTTTATTTTACTGCTCTGTAATGCTGATTTTTAGCCACTTTTTCCGCCCAATGTTTTGAAAAATATAATAGTTAGATAGGCAAAGAAAAACTGACCAGTTGAATTGGTCAGTTTTCACCCCGCTTATATTGGATTTCTTGCTCTTTAATGCCAATTTTATCATATTTTTTTTGTCGTATTTGCTTATTATCTTGGAAACTATAACAGATTGATAAACAATAAATAGCAAATATGATCAGCAAGACAAGATCTTCAAATTAGTTTAATTTTGTCTAAATTGTATATAGACCCTTGCATGGTAGGATTGGACTTCAGTGTCCTAAATGGTGATTTTTTTTTACCCTCATCTATGTTTTGGGCAAAAAATTAAGAAGACACAAACAAACATTTTCAAAAGCAATTCAAAACAAGTTCAAATAAGTTAATTCATGTTTATTACCCGGGACTATTATCACTACCTATAACCGAGTACGGCAGAAAGTGATTTTCCCCCGATTATAGTACTGATTTTTTCCTCGATTTTGTACTGATTTTTCATGATAAATTTTATACACTATAGTTCTGTTATTTAATGTAAGTAGCTTGAACTAATCAATTGGTTAAAGATCATTTATTCTGTCTGGTCAGCAGTCATTAGTAAGTGATATCCTGAGGTGGGATTGCCTTGAAGTTACATCATGACCTTCCTTATTCTTTGTTTTGATGCTGTTGCAGCTGATTTGAGTAGAAAAAATCTGTTTTAGTCTGCTTTTAGAAAACTAGGAGTATAAATTAGATTTTTTTTCATGAAATTTTTTTCAAATATAATAATGTGAAAAATGCAAGTAGAAATTTGGACAAAATAAGCATTTAAATGGGAAAAAAATAGCAATTAAACTTGAGCTTTGGTGTACAGATTGTCCCCGATCAGCTTGTGTTCATTACAGATTTTCCCTGATACCTATACAGATTGTCCCCGATTTTGAAAAAGCTAATCCTTCAAAAATAAAACTAATATGTTGATCTTCATTACACTTAGGCATGTGCTTATAAAAATAGTGGAACATATGAAAAATTTTCCTGCAAACCTGTTATAATAAAATTGAATTAGAGATTTTTTTGTTCATTGATATTTCATTGGTTGGTTAAGAAACTTTAAACAGGTTTCTTCTTGCTTGGGGTTCATATAACTTACTGTTTGTATATTTCTGGATTCATAGTTTGGTGAATTTGATAAATTGTCTGAAATGGTTGGAGATTGTGATGATTTGCCTTTTTTGATAATCTTTTGTGGTGTATTTGTTGATAATTTACAAATTATAATTTTTCATCTTGTATTTTAATAAAAGTTTTTCCTTCTCTGTCAAGAAGTTCTGGAATGAATGCATGATATGTTATCTTTCACCACCCTCTTCAAGTCTTCTCCAAATGACAAGTTTTTCAGATGGATGTGTCTTCTGAGGGTGAGCTACTATTTCTTCAAAGATGACATTTTTAGAAAGCTATTAAAGCTATGTTGATATTTTCTTACTAGTAACAGTTGAAAATGAAACTTAGAATGAACCTTTTCCTTACGATACTATAAGAGAAAACTTCAGGGAAAATCTGTAATTAACTTCATCTTCTCTGGGACAATCTGTACACTGATAGTGGACAATCAGTACACTGCATCAGAAATTGAAATCATATTTTCATAATCTCCTTAAAAAAGTACTTCCAGCTCTAAGTTTACTTAATTTACACATTTGAATAAGTATTCTATAGATCTAATTAGAGAAATAACATTTAGATATTTGAATAATATAAGAAAATCACTTCCCATGACTTCCTTGCTTCGGAAAAGTTTCTATTTTTAGGATTGGTCATCAAAATCCATATTGCCCATGGGAGGTCAATGATAAAAATGTATGAATGAAATGGAAGGTTGCATAATTATTGACACAGATTTTCTCAGTTTAATTCATATATAATTACCCTTTTGATGTTCTCTACATAGGAAAATCGGGAAAAATCAGTTATCAATCGGGGAAAATCAGTACTGTAATCGGGGGAAAATCACTTTCTGTCGTACTCGGTTACAGGCAGTGATTGTACAAACAGTATATAATAGTCCCAGTCATTACCCCCATTACAACATATTTGTGAAACACGGAGAGCCTTTCCTAACCTACTTTGTAAAGTATTGTCAAACTTTTGACAACTTCCGGTTCCTCCTGAATTTATATTTATTTATTTATATTATTCATTCATTTATTTATTTATCTATTTATTTATTTATCAATTTATCTATTTGTATATTGTTTTAACCACTCATAATGGACAACAAAAAAAGGAAACTTCCCGAACATTTCGAGACCGAAGTAAATTACAGTTTTCTAAATGGTGTTAATGCCTACATTCTGAAGACAGGAATTGAGAATGCCAGAATGAAAATCTTCAAAACTAAGCTGACAAAATATGGAGGGTCTTTCTCAGATGAGCTGACAGAAGACACTACATATATAATTATGGAGGCAAATATTGAAATAACACGGCTACTTAGTATTCTACATGTTGAAACTATTCCTGATCATATTCATTTGATAAACACTAATTGGCTTAGTAGATGTTTTAGAGAAAAATCACTGGTTAACACAGACAATTTTATTATCAAAAGGAATTTGCCCCACTCCAAACCAGATGTGCAACATGGCAGCAAAACCTTCGAAATAAACCCTGAAGATGCTGTGTGCGAAAATAAAAAACCTCCAGTTTCAGGAACACTTAAAATGGCTCCTGTATGTAGATCAAGTAGGATTCATATTCATGAATCAAAACAAAGAAAGATAGAAAAAAGTGAGAGTGATAAAAGTAGTGAATACAAAACAAGCGATGAAGATGTAAAGCTAAATGCAAAAGTCTCAGTTCCATCAACTGAAGGCATGTTGAAGGTACATTTGTATTTAAAAAAGACAGGTTTATTGATTTTCACCTTTGACATGTATGATGTTTGAATCTAAATTATTTGTGGCCATTGTCATTTTGAATGCTTTGAAAACAGGTTGGTGACAATGAACAAGCCTTTAAATCCTAAAAACAATGCACATTTTTATGATTGTTTTCCTATCATGCCTATAGGGACTGAAGTGATAATTCCTACTGTACATACGTGAACATGTACAAATGTACTTGACTCAAGCTTTGATGCCATATATAACATATGATTCGTCCGACAGAAGTCAAAATCTCACCCATTTTCAAGCTCTCTTCCGTTCCTTCCATTAAAAATTGAAATCTGCTTTTCAGATATTTCAACCCCAAAATTTTTATTGTACAAAATGTACCAGTGCTGATACAGATTTTGTGTCTTTGATGAAGGAAATTATTGTAACCAGTAAGTTCTGAATGTTGGGACAATTAATTGGCTTCGCTAGACAGCTTACATATATATGTAGTTTGTCAAACATACAAATGTAGCTTTCATCCACATCCAGTCTGTGTTTTTGTTTGATGTTTTTCTGCTTTGTATCGATCTGATGAGTTAAGCCTTTTTCAACTGATATTTTTATAATGCTATAGCATTTTTTGTAGTTTCCGGACAATAACTTGTGTGTTAGTGTATGGATCTCTCTGAAATTGTACCACAAGGTTCCATATCACATAGGGAAGAATGGGATTGAGTTTGGGGGTAGTTGCCCCAAACGTTCAGGAATAAGGGGCAAAAAAGGGGCCAAAAACAAGCATTTTTCTAGTTTCCAGCCAATAACTTGTGTTTAAGTGTATGGATCTCTCTGAATTCATTTCAATACCTCAAAGGGAAAGCTTAAATTGAGTTTAGGGGTAATTGGGGTTCATTTTTTTTCCTTCAAAATTTTTTAAAATTTAAAATTTTTTTTTTTGCAATTTTTTTTGGGGGGAGGTTCATACTTTTTTCTTCAAGATTTTTTATAATTTCAAATTTTGTCAAAAAAAAAATTTTTTTGGGGTGGACAATTTTTTTAGGGGGAATTTTTTTTCACAATTTTTGGGGTTTTTTTCCCAAAAATTTTCCATTTTTACATAGATTATTTCTGATATATATATAAATGCAACAAATACTGATATGACAGGAAATACACACCAAACAGGGTGTGTAAATTATTTTCTCTAATTCTTCGTCAATTTATCACTTTCTGCACACCTTGTATAAAAAATATTTAATCAACGTGTGGTTTGTTTGATCTCAGTTCTTCATTGGTTAAAATCCGATTATGACGTCGAATTTTCTTGCTTTCCTCTGAATTTCCTATTGTGACGGCATGAAAAAAGGCGACCATGCCTGATGACGTCACATAGAAAGAACACATCTTCTTGCAGATCATTCAAAAAGAAGGAATAAGTTTGCCTGCATATTGTTTGAAAATCATTAGAGAAACAGATTCCACCACCAAATCTCGTGTAATACGATATTTATCCACTCTCGACAGTTAAATTTTAAATATTTAAAACGCTCGGCAAGCCTCGCGTTTTAAATTTGAAAATTTAACTGTCTCGAGTGGATAAATATCGTATCACACTCGATGCAGTGGTAGAATCTATATATATATAACAGATTACTGGTAACTAAGAATTGTGCAACAGCACAGTATTGCACAATAGCAAGAAATCTTCAATTGAAAATAAATACAAATCTTTTAACCAATTTCAATGGGATTAATTTAAAGTCTTTAATTTTTGGGGGTTCTAAAAAACCTTGTATTACTAGTTTGGATATTGGGCCCCATTTTAAAAATGGGCTACATTGAGGTCCAAAGGGTCCAAAATTAAACTTTGTTTGATTTCATCAAAAACTGAATTATTGCGGCTCTATGATATGATGAATCTTATTGTGCATTTAGATTTTTTATTTTGGGCCCTGTTTTCAAATTAGTTCATATTAAGGTTTGAAGTGTCTATAATTAAACTTTGTTTGATTTCAACTAAAATTAAATTTTTGGTGTTTTTTTATAGCTGAATCTAACCATGTTGTTAGCTTTTGGATATCAGACCATACTAGGTAAATTAAATGTCCCATTTCAAATTTTTAAGATCTTTGACCACATTTATTTTGTGTGAGAAACCTATATTATGTCAAGAATTTGATCACAATCCAAATTCAGACAGTATCAAACTTGAATATTGTGTCCAAACTTGCCCCAACTGTTCAGGGTTCGACCTCAGTGGTCGTATACGTATCAGGCTGAGCTCGGCGAAGCATTTTATGATATTTTATGATAAAGTTGAAATTCAATGGCCTGAAGTGAACCTTGTCCTTTTGAGATCTTTAAAGAAAATAGTTTTTTGGTATGTGTGTATTTGTACTTGGTCCATGTTGTTTCATCTTTTCCATACAAGAACATTTGTTTTTTAAAAAACTTTTTAAAATAATTTACATTGATGCTCCATTCCTAACTTTACAGTTGAAATGGACATCCTATAGAAGTATACATATTACTAGAGACATTTATAGTACTAGTATCAGGATTGGCAAAGTATTAATAGTACTTGAATGGGAAAACATAGATTATTATGTCTTGAATTCATCCTAACAGTGTAAAAATGAATGTGCCACAACCCTAGGTTTATCTGATGAGAAATGACATCATCCAATTAATGAAAGCTAGTTGGCCAACTAGTCAAGGGCATTGGGCATAGTGCAGACAATGTTTTCTTATTAATGTATGTCTCGATGGTTTAAGATTAAATCATTATAAATGTTTAAAATATAGTGATAACCCTGTAAAGTTGTGGCTTGGTAATCCAAAAGAGAAAATATATTGTACAGTTGTTACAAGTTTTAAATTAAAGAGGTTTTTGTACTTATTCATAGTAGATTTCAGCTTTTTTAGATTTTTTTCAGAAAGGTAACTGGGTTTGTGCACAGTCTTCTTTGAACCCAATACCTAATATCAACAGTCATATTACAGAAAAATTAGAGGTTTGTATAACTCCTACATGTCATACCATATATACAATGCATCATACATTTTTGTAAATTTATATTAAGCAGATCTTCAAATATTATAAGGATAACACAGATCAATCTGATACTAATTGTAGTTACTGACGGCCAATTCATGTAGATTTAATTAAGTGTACTTCCAAAATTTATAAATAGTAAAATATATTTACAAAAGATTCACCTATTATAAAAATAAGAAGATGTGGTATAATTGTCTGTAAAATGGAAAAAAGTCACAAATCTGGTAAGGAAAAAAGTCACAAATCTGGTAAGGAAAAAAAGCAAATAATGGTAAATGTAGGGAAAAAAGGTCACAGAAAAAGTCACAAATCAAGAAGGAAACAATGTGAAATATTGTGTATATAGAGGAAAAAAAGTCACTCTAAAATTATTATGATGTCATAATTATTTGTGTCATTCATATACTTCATAATAAGATCATACAACTTCTCCTTATTTTTATACTCTTAGGTCACAAAAATTAACTGTTGAAGGCTGTACAGTGACCTAAAGTTGCTAATCTTCTACATCATTTGGTCTCTGGTAAAGAGTTGTCTTTATGATAGAGTCATATTTTTATACGCCCGTTTACGGGACGTATTATGGTATACCGTAAATTTAGATTTTACGTTTCCGAGTTATGGGGTTTTATTCATTAAAAAGGGGTGATTTTCCAGTTTTCTGACAATAACTCAAAAATGCTGTCACCAATTCTCATGAAACTTTGGTGAATTGTTTATATCTATTGATGTAAGCTCCCTTTTTATTTTCATAAATTTCTAATATGACATTGAGAATTAATTATACTTTATTTGTTTATAGTCTGACAACAGATTTACTAAGTATTGCACAACAGCAAGAAATCTTTAATTGAACATAAATTCAATTCATATAACCAATTACAAGTTCTTTGAATACATTTATTCAGACACCTATAATATGTCAAATATTTAATTACAATCCAAATTCAGACCTGAATCAAGCTTGAATATTGTGTCCATTTTTGCCCCAACTGTTCAGGGTTGGACCTCTGCGGGCGTATCTAGCTGCGCTCAGCGAAGCAGTTTATTAGCAATCATCATGATCATACCCCATCTTATTTTTTTATAAACATCACAATTATTGACCCTATTTCTATTTTTGTACCAATTACTTTAATATTTTTTTAAAAGTAATATATTCTGCTACAATATTTGCAGAAGAATAACAATGATTAACCCCACATATGATTTTGAAGAATAGTCTTTTGCCTATTATCTTAAAAACAATAATTATAATAATAAATAATGATAATAATAAAACTATAACTTTTAATCCTGGTGTCTGTGATGAGTATTATAAAACATAGATATAAACTTCAAACTTTAAAATGATCAGCAAGATAAGATCTTCAAATAGGTCAGCATACATGTAGATGAATTTGTCAGTTTTCTTCTATTAGGAGTTCTTGCCCTGAAAGGATGATTTTTACCCGTTTTTGTGTTTTTGGTGTATCCTTTAGAAGAAAGAAAGAAACTGTAAACAGAGCATTACAATTAAGTTCAACAAAAAGAGAAATTTTAGCTATGACTAATATTGGAGTCTACAATGTTGTTTATTGATGCAGTTGCACATAGATAGACCTAGGTAAGCAACACAGGCTCTTTAGAGGGTGTAGCCTTACCAAACGGTGCTAAAAAGTTGCACATAAGATGCTAACATGAGATCTAACAATAGCAACTAACATGATTGCACTTGAGGTTTTTAACATGCAAATTAGGTGAGGAGTTGTGAGCACAAAAATTGCACATATGAAACTAACTTAATTTGCATGTTAAAAACATCACTTGCAAATGCCCATGTGAACCTTTTGTTTCACATGTGCATTTTATCAGATTGCTCATATGAGCAGCTGCTCACATTTGATTTTGTTATTTAATTATCTCCAGATGATGATGATTTAATTGTGCTTGCATTTAAAAACAAAATTGCTGCTTAATCATGTTATTAGGATAAATTTCAAAATTTAAATGAAGATCGTGACTAGTTGAAAATAAAATAAATGATATTCTGAGTTATGATTTGTTTATTATTTTGTACTTTTGTTATTAAAAAAAAATGACTTAAAATGTTACATTACATTATGTAATTAGTGCAGTGACTTACTTTAGTACATAATGAATTTCTTTTATTGCACTATATTTTAGAAAGTTTAAAGCGGGATTTATCTCAATGGTACTTATTTGAAGAACAATTTTTGCCATAAAGGGCATAAAATTGTAATATATTTGAGAATCTGAAAAAAAAATGAAATAGAAATGATAACTTAGAAAGATTTAACCACAGCCACAATGGTAATTTTGTATTCCAGCAATGGCATAGTTTAAATAGCACAAATTATGGCTTAATAATTTTTATCTCCATTTCCTTCCTAATTGATGATGTTAATTTGAATTAACATACATGACTGGGCATGTCAGTTTGAAAAAGCTTATATGAGCATGTGCAATGACACATGTTAGTTTTGAATAAGGTTGAGAACTCAATATTGACTTTACTTTCATATGCTTGTTCATGTATGAAAGAGTTGAGATTTATACCATATTTGTATAACCTTAGAAATGAATGCCAGCTTAGTTGATTTGCAACATTGTTTACAAACATTTACAATTCAGGAAATGGTTAAAAAGTATGAAAGTACAAGTGACAAGTGGCGAGCTTTTGGATACCAGAAAGCAATCCAGGTTCTTAAGAAACATCCAAAGCAAATTACAACTTGGGAGGTATGCTGCTAATAGAATCATAATAAATGCTAGTTGAAGATAAGTCATTGAATTATAGTATACAACCATCTGTCTGTGTGGCATTTACATATCCTGCACCTTTTCTAAAAATGAACAAAAGGTGATGTGGGGTATTGAACAATAAGAGATAGGGATAGCTTGTTATTTCAATGTGGAGGTTGAAAAAGTTGTATCAAGTTACATTTTTGTTGAGTTAACAATACAACATTAATGTAGTGCAAGCCAGACATAGGGATCCTAGATTTCATTGTTCGAGTCTTCAACGTTAAGGACCAATCTGGTTATAGTTTTTTTTTAGACATCAATAACTGCTGTATATTCAGAAATTTTTGCGAGGTTTCTCTTGATGTGAATTTGACTTGGTGAGTATTACAATAATAAGGACTCGCATTCTAATATCTGATACATATATCAGTATGCAGATATCCCTGAAATCGCAGTAATCAGTCAGGGGACTTACTTAAATGAGTGTTTTTCTAAATCACTGATTCAAGTAACATTATGTCCATAAAGATTGGAAGTAAGGGTTGTCTTTCTTTAATAATCACCTATTTAAGTAGTACAAATTAATCACTAGACTAAGTGATTTAATTTTATTGTAGCTTTAGATATAGAATACTAATGATCCAGGGACTAATTATGTTGCTAAAATTATCAGAACCAACATCTGTGTTGATAGGATGACCAGGTCATGTCAGGTGATGACCTTGTACTAAATCTAGGATAATGACATAAAAATCACTTGTTTAAGTATCATACCTCAATTTTCTTCCAAAAAAATAACTTCTTTAAGTTTCATTATTTTAATACCCCCACTAATTTCAACACCCCCGAACAGTGAAATTTTTATCACGAACAGTAGAATTTTATTACATAATCTATAAGATGAAACCTTGAATTTTACAGGAAAAAATAATACTCCCACTGCTGGGAAAAATCTGTTAAGAAAGTATCAGTTCATTATGTAAAGCCATTTTTATACGACCGCAAAAATTGAAAATTTTTTGGTCGTATATTGGTATGACGTTGGCGTCGTCGTCGTCGTCGTCGTCGTTGTCGTCGTCGTCGTCGTCGTCGTCCGGCGTCGTCTGGCGTCGTCCGAAGACACATTGGTTTTCGCACTCTAACTTTAGTTTAAGTGAATGGATCTGCATGAAATTTTACCATAAGGTTCAATACCATGAAAGGAAGGTTGGGATTGATTTTGGGGGTTATGGTACCAACAGTTAAGGAATTAGGGGCCAAAAAGGGGCCAACAATAAGCATTTTTGTAACTTCCAGACAATAACTTGTGTGTAAGTGTATGGATCTCTCTGACATTGTACCACAAGGTTCCATATCACAAAGGGAAGGCTGTAATTGATTTTGGGGGTAATTGCCTCAAAATGTTAGGAATTAGGGGCCAAAAAAGGGGCAAAAAACAAGCATTTTTCTAGTTTCATGACAATAACTTGTGTGTAAGTGTTTGGATATTTCTGAAATTGTACTACAAGGTTCCATATCACAAAGGGAAAGCTGGAATTGAGTTTGGGGGTAATTGCCCGAAACGTTTAGGAATTGGGGGCCAAAAAGGGGCCAAAAATAAGCATTTTTCTAGTTTCCAGACAATAACTTGTGTTCAAGTGTATGGATCTCTCTGAAATTGTACTGCAAGGTACCATACCACAAAGGGAAGGCTGAGATTGAGTTTGGGGGTGATGAATCATAAGGGGGTTCAAAAAATTTTGGGGGGGGGGGATTTTTTTTTTTTTCTTTTTTTTTTCTTTTTTTCCTTTTTTTTTTTCTTTTAAAATTTTCCATTTTAAGTTGGTTATTTCTGATTTATATTTAAAAGCAAATAATAATGATATGGTAGGAGATACACACCAAACAGGATGTGTAAATTATTATATAATAAGTATTGTGCAATAGCAAGAAATTTTCAATTGCACAGTATTGCACAATAGCAAGAAATCTTCAATTGCACAGTATTGCGCAATAGCAAGAAATCTTCAATTGCACAGTATTGCGCAATAGCAAGAAATATCCAATAGCACAATATTGCGCAATAGCAAGAAATTGTCAATTGTACAGTATTGCGCAATAGCAAGAAATAATCAATTGCACAGTATTGTGCAAAAGAAGATACTTCGTATAAATTGCTTATTTCTTGATCAATTTCAATGGGGTTTTATTCTTGAATTCTTGGGGTTCTTTAATATGCTGAATCTAACCGTGTATTAAGTTTTTAGATTTTGGGCCCCGTTTTTAAATTGGTCCACATTGAGGTCCAAAGGGTCCAAAATTTTACTTTGTTTGATTTCATCAAAAATTGAATTATTGGGGTTCTTTGATATGCCGAATCTAACCGTGTATTTAGATTCTTAATTTTTGGTTCTGTTTTCAAATTGGTCTACATAAAGGTCCAAAGGGTCCAAAATTAAACTTAGTTTGATTTCAACAAAAATTGAATATATGGGGTTTTTTGATATGCTGAATCTAACCATGTATTTAGATTTTTGATTATGGGCCCAGTTTTCGAGTTGGTCCAAATCGGGGTCCAAAATTAAACTTTGTTTGATTTCAACAAAAATTGAATATATGGGGTTCTTTGATATGCTGAATCTAACCATGTATTTAGATTTTTGATTATGGGCCCAGTTTTCAAGTTGGTCCAAATCGGGGTCCAAAATTAAACTTTGTTTGATTTCAACAAAAATTGAATATATGGGGTTCTTTGATATGCTGAATCTAACCATGTATTTAGATTTTTGATTGTTGGGCCCCGTTATCAACTTTGTCCACATTGAGATCAAAAGGGTCCAAAATTAAACTTTGTTTGATTTCATCAAAAATTGAATATATGGGGTTCTTTGATATGCTGAATCTAACCATGTATTTAGATTTTTGATTATGGGCCCAGTTTTCGAGTTGGTCCAAATCGGGGTCCAAAATTAAACTTTGTTTGATTTCAACAAAAATTGAATATATGGGGTTCTTTGATATGCTGAATCTAACCATGTATTTAGATTTTTGATTATGGGCCCAGTTTTCAAGTTGGTCCAAATCGGGGTCCAAAATTAAACTTTGTTTGATTTCAACAAAAATTGAATATATGGGGTTCTTTGATATGCTGAATCTAACCATGTATTTAGATTTTTGATTGTTGGGCCCCGTTATCAACTTTGTCCACATTGAGATCAAAAGGGTCCAAAATTAGACTTTGTTTGATTTCATCAAAAATTGAATATATGGGGTTCTTTGATATGCTGAATCTAACCATGTATTTAGATTTTTGATTATGGGCCCAGTTTTCAAGTTGGTCCAAATCGGGGTCCAAAATTAAACTTTGTTTGATTTCAACAAAAATTGAATATATGGGGTTCTTTGATATGCTGAATCTAACCATGTATTTAGATTTTTGATTGTTGGGCCCCGTTATCAACTTTGTCCACATTGAGATCAAAAGGGTCCAAAATTAAACTTTGTTTGATTTCATCAAAAATTGAATATATGGGGTTCTTTGATATGCTGAATCTAACCATGTATTTAGATTTTTGATTATGGGCCCAGTTTTCGAGTTGGTCTAAATCGGGGTCCAAAATTAAACTTTGTTTGATTTCAACAAAAATTGAATATATGGGGTTCTTTGATATGCTGAATCTAACCATGTATTTAGATTTTTGATTATGGGCCCAGTTTTCAAGTTGGTCCAAATCGGGGTCCAAAATTAAACTTTGTTTGATTTCAACAAAAATGGAATATATGGGGTTCTCTAATATGCTGAATCTAACCGTGTATTAAGTTTTTGGATTTTGGGCCCCGTTTTTAAATTGGTCCACATTGAAGTCCAAAGGGTCCAAAATTTAACTTTGTTTGATTTCATCAAAAACTGAATTATTGGGGTTCTTTGATATGCCGAATCTAACTGTGTATTTAGATTCTTAATTTTTGGTTCCGTTTTCAAATTGGTCTACATAAAGGTCCAAAGGGTCCAAAATTAAACTTAGTTTGATTTTAACAAAAATTGAATTTTTAGGGTTCTTTGATATGCTGAATCTAAACATGTATTTAGATTTTTGATTATGGGCCCAGTTTTCAAGTTGGTCCAAATCGGGGTCCAAAATTAAACTTTGTTTGATTTCAACAAAAATTGAATATATGGGGTTCTTTGATATGCTGAATCTAACCATGTATTTAGATTTTTGATTTTTGGGCCCTGTTATCATTTTTGTCCACATTGAGATCAAAAGGGTCCAAAATTAAACTTTGTTTGATTTCATCAAAAATTGAATTCTTGGGGTTCTTTGATATGCTGAATCTAACCATGTATTTAGATTTTGGATATTGGACCATAATAGGTGAATGTCCAATTTAAAATTTTTAAGTTCTTAGACCACATTCATTCTGTGTCAGAAACCTATGCTGTGTCAAATATTTAATCACAATCCAAATTCAGAGCTGTATCAAGCTTGAATGTTGTGTCCATACTTGCCCCAACTGTTCAGGGTTCGACCTCTGCGGTCGTATCAAGCTGCGCCCTGCGGAGCATTTTATTATAGCATTTTTTCAACTAAAATAGAATTTGCAGCTAAATGATTGCATCAAAGGCATAAACCTTGCTGCTTAAAAGAAGCAAAAAGTTCATTTTTTTCAATTTTACTAATGAAAAGATATTATCTAAACCTATGTGTTTAAAATTTTGGTAAAACTACAAAATCACAATTTGTGACAAAACTTCAAATTTGATACTTAAATAAGTGATTTAAAAATCACTTATTTCAATAAGTCCCCTGACTGGTAATTAATCTCACATTTTTCTCAATTCTCCAAAAATCTCATTTATAAATGCATGCAATAATATCTGAATTTACAGTATGTATAAAGGATATATTTTTTGGTAAAAAAATAAAGAATATATTTGTTTGTAAAAGATAAATAATAAAACAGATAGATCCACTAACCAAGGTTAATTTTGTTAGAAGTTATCTTCTCTTGAGCAGTTTAGAGGTACATTTTTCAGGTGAGCAATTGACCATTGGACCTTTTGAAGTTATCTTGGCATGCAAAAAGTACAGGAAGGGACAATACCATGTGTCAACATTTATACCTATAATGAGGTTCTGGATGGGGTTTACAGAATAGACAATAATGGACAAAAGATACATAATAAGGGATAAAAAAAATACAGGTTAGATAAAAATAGACAAAAAAAAAAATACAGAATGCAAAATCATTGGGACCTAAATTATAAAGAAAAGAGAATTATGTGGAAATAAATTAAAGAATAGAGAAAAATGCCCTACAAAATTAAAGAATTCAGAAATGAAAAACCCCATCCAGACCTTCTATAAAGAATGTCTTATTTGTTTCATTATAGGAAGCAAAGGCTTTACCAGCCATTGGAGCAAAGCTGGCTGATAAAATTTGGGAAGTTATAGAAAGTGGTGGATTACGGAAGTTAGATGAATTTAAATCCAACGAGGAGATAAAAACTTTGGAACTTTTTACCAATGTTTGGGGTGCTGGGGCTGTAACAAGTCGACAGTGGTATCAGCAGGTGTTGTATTATACCATGTTTATCAAGTTGGTATAGACTAGATATTAGTTAGATGTACTAAAAAATAAACAATACTAGTATATAATGGAACAACACTTTATTGCTGTTTTTCATCTTAACTGTTGTTTCAAAAAAAGTGTTGTTTTAAGGTTTTCATTGATTAACATTACAGATACACCTTATAGCAAGACCATGACATCTCCTAGAGTAGATTAAGAGGCACCCTGTAATAGTCGATATTTTGATATTATATAATTTACGTATGTCTTTGAAGTACTTAATGAATTGTTATACAATTGACTCCCAAGTCAAAGAGGACAGCAGTTCTTATGCAGTTAATTAGCATTCACAGTTCTTACTTGCCAGCTGTTCTTTAGCAGTTCATTAGCATTCACAGTTGCCAAATTCAAGTCAATGGTTATTTTGCATATAGGCATTCCAATAGCATTCCGTAGCAGTTTATTTAGCTGTTACAGTTATTTTGCAGTTATTTTTGACGAAAAATTTAAATGAGATGCCCCAAAACTGCTATCTTCTCTGAATATTCATGAGAACTGCTATAATAATAGCTATCAATAATGAATATTCATACAAGTTGCTAAGTTGTACATCCTAATATGGTTTTAAAAACTGCTAATAACTGCTATGGAATGCTATCGTGTCTGTCAAAAGTATGAATACAAAGGTACATGAATATACAGGGTACAAGTTATGAATGCAGAAATATTTTACTGTAAGTCTTGTTGAAATTTCAAAAAGTTGTACTAACTTAAATTTGTAATTGAGCAGACTAACTGCAATCAAATGACTTGATTTTAATCCAATAACGGACTTGTTAATGGGGTGTAAATATGTTTTGTGAGAACTGTACCTGGCCTTAGACCCCTTATTAATTATGTCAGTGGCAGAATAATGGGAACAGTAAAGAATGCACTTTAAATATCAGTGCTTATAAAAAGCAACTAATTCAATAAGAGTGGTTACTAGAGACTATTAATTACCTTGACTAAATGATTTTCAGATTAAAAGTTATTTCTTTTTAATTATTATTTAATTACCAAATGTACAACTAATTTCTCTCTCTCTAAATATATATATATATATATACATTGTTCGTCTAAATAACAGCCCAACAATGTTAGATCTGTAAATTTGCGGAAGCAAAGTTTTTGTTCTTCTCTGGCAGGGATTCGGACTCATGCTACTGAGATATCATGGACGTACTTATATATATACATTGTATATACATTTTATGTGGACCAAAAGACAACAGTTATCTCTCTTTCTCTTTTAAATTTAAAGAAATATTTTTCTTACTACAGGTTATATATTATGTTTCGATATTAACCATGTTAACTTCATTAAATGGATTGTTTGGTCAATATTAAACAATCAGCTATTTGCGGCCTAGGTTTTCTTAATATTCCCTCTCCCCTTTTTCAACTCTTGAATATGATTTGTTTTTGTTTTTTTTTACAAAATTATATTAAGATATTCATATTTCTATTTTCAAATAATATCTTGCACTGTAAGTATATGCTAGTATTTTATTACAATCCTGTAAAAATCAGATATTCTATGTGAATAAATAACTATCCCCTTTTTTTGGGCTGTTTGTATGATTTCTGTTTTCCCCTACAAAATTTTAATTATGTCCAGAAAATACACATGCATTAACTGTAAATTCAACTTACTGTACTGCAGGTTTGTGAAAGTATTCCATTAAGCCTATTATAGTAAATTAAACTTTATAATTGACATAAATACTGTTTTTCACCAGCAAGTATTTACCACAGCTTGGAGCCAAAATGCACATTTGAAAATGATCAAATAATCTTCAAATAAAGGTTTACTATCAAGCTGAAAACAAAACCAGATCCAAGCATTTTAAACAAAGATTAAAACAAAAACTGCTATCAAACTGCTATTGAACTGCTGTCATAACTGCTGTCCAATTAACAAATTGACAGCAGTTTTAAGGTATCCAAACTGCTACAGGTGAATGCTAAGAAATGGTGAAACAAGGCAGTTTTTCAGACTGCTATTAGATGGACTGCTAAAAATATGAAGAACTGGTAAATAACAGCTAAAAACAGCTTATAATAGCAGTTCAATTTGACTTAGGCTTATATGTCATAAGAATGCTACTTAAGATCTTATTGTATGTTCTTTTATGTAACTTTTGTTATTCCACTGATCATGACTTGAAAGAGGATTGTGATCTCACAACACTAGTTTAACACTGCCACATCACTGGAGTTAAGCGCCTAACAAACATTTCCTACTTTACAGTATTATGATTAAAACTAAATTTCAAACATTTTTGAAAATGATATTATATCAAGATTTGTATTGTTATTCTTAACAGGGATTTAGAACACTAGAAGATCTCAAAAAAAAAGCAAAGTTGACACATCAACAAGAAGTTGGTTTGAAGTACTATGATGATATTTTAGATAGAATGTCAAGAGAAGAGGCTGGCGAAATTGAGGAAACAGTATGTTTATATATATTTTTTATTCATTTCATCTTCCTGTGTAAGTGTTTTTTATTTAAGGGTCCGAATTTAGCCTTCTTGATTAAAAACATGTATTTTCGCAGGAACACCAAATTTAAAGAATTTAAGATTTTTATTTTCACAGTATTTAGTAAACATAATTATATACAGTCAAACTTATGTCAAACACAGTGGTGATGAAAACCCAGAGAAATCAAGGTACAGTCCACAGACATATCTTTTTGTCATCTACAATTTTTTGCAACATATTTCATATTAAAAAAAAATTTTCAAAGAAATTTGTTGAAGTTGTCTAGTTTAATTTTTTACTTTTAAATATTGTCTGACAAATATGATACCAAGAACTAAAATTTTTTTCCCGCCCTAAACAGAAGATTTCTTTTCACAGATTGCATACTTTAATGCATATATTCTCATATGTTTTGATCTTTAAAATTAGAATTTATTTCATTCCTGAAAAAATTTATGAAATACTCTCCTCTCAATATAGGTCACCATATATATTTAAGTAAGGTTGCAATCTAATACAAAGCATTTGAGTTAGCATCTAGAATTGAAAAAGACTGACAGACTGACTGGTGGAGGGTTCAATGACTTTATACCCTCCACTTCTTTGTTGTGAAGAGTATAATTATGAATAACCAAAATATTGCAGTGTTGAATTGATAACCTTTTAAAATAAGTTTATTCAAAGCATTGATAGTTTACTTGGATTGCATCTATATTTACTGGCTCCATTTAAGTGTCAGACCACCAATTCATCGGATCCAATTTAGAACATAAAAGTAGCCCTCCCTTGACAAAAAATAGTGCTTTTAACGTCATTGTTTACCTTAACTCACCAACAAATTTGCAGAAATGAAACTTTTGGTGAAAGGAAAATATATTTAGACCATTTTTAGGCAAAATTTACTTGACCATGTGTTTGCATTAAAAATTGAGGATTGATGCGCTCCATTGTATACTTATTTAAGATTCCCAGAAAACCAGGGGTTATTTTTGGTAGTAGTTGCCTTCCGAACGATCGTGTTTCACTTCAAGACTTTAAACATTGTTTGATATTTGGCATGTAGAAAGGTGATACATGTACAACTCAGGATGTACCTGGTTTCTATGAAGGTGAAATATTTAGAAAGCTACAAAAAAATGGTTTAATAGATGGGATTTTGAATTGGGATCTGGCACCTAAAGGACAAAACAGTCAAAATGATATCCTGTTATTATATAAAATATATCATTTTTTGTAGCAAAAAATTAATAGTAAGGAATGAAGGTTTTCTTCAGGTACAGCCTAACTTCCAACCAAATCTTTGTATCTATGAAAAGAATTAAGCAAAGATTTAAAGTTATTTGAGGTAATGTAATCCCTAACCCAAAAATTTATTAGTGATACATAGATTAGATTCTTTGAAATCTATAAGTTCACAACATACATAGACTTAGCCAAAGAATTTAGATATATAAACACTGTAGGAAAGGGCCAAAGGAAGTTTAAGGAACATAACCTTTTAAAAAAGGAAAATTATGAATAGGGAACGAAAAATTATCCCTTTTGTCCAAACTACCCACCACTGTATAAACTCTTGTCAATGGGACTGATATGGATCATATATCAAACAACATATAAAACATACTTTTGGATTGATATTTAAGGTGGTACCAAACACCTGGCTAAAATTAATTTGGCTCATTTAATTTTCATAAAATTTTGACAAAATATTTACTTTGACCTTTTGACAAAAATATAGAAATTTCAAAAAACTTGATTCACACTCTTTATCGGAAAAATTTCATTGGATATATAGCAGTTTGACAAACACTAATTTGATCATTGAGAAGCTTAATATTTCCTTAACAATAGAACGTGATTAAAATGTTCAGCTGATTTTGTGGTCGTATATTGGTATGACGTTGGCGTCGTCGTCGTCCGAAGACACATTGGTTTTTGCACTCTAACTTTAGTTTAAGTGAATGGATCTCTTTGAAATTTTACCATAAGGTTCTATACCACAAAAGGAAGGTGGATATTGATTTTGGGGGTTATGGTACCAACAGTTAAGGAATTAGGGGCCAAAAAGGGGCCAAAAATAAGCATTTTATAGTATTATTTTAGTAACTTCCAGACATAACTTGAGTGTTAGTGTTTGGATCTCTCTGACATTGTACCACAAGGTTCCATATCTCAAAGGGAATGCTGGGATTGATTTTGGGGGTAATTGTCTCCAAATTTTAGGAATAAGGGGCCAAAAAGGGGCAAAAAACAAGCATTTTTCTAGATTCATGACAATAACTTGTGTGTAAGTGTATGGATCTCTCTGACATTGTACCACAAGGTTCCATATCACAAAAGGAATGCTGGGATTGATTTTGGGGGTAATTGCCTCCAAATTTTAGGAATTAGGGGCAAAAAACAAGCATTTTCCTAGTTTCATGACAATAACTTGTGTTTAAGTGTATGGATCTTTATGAAATTGTACTACAAGGTGTCATATCACAAAGGGAAAGCTTGAATTGAGTTTGGGGGTAATTGTTAATTGATAAACGTTTAGGAATAAGGGGCCAAAAACAAGCATTTTTCTAGATTCATGACAATAACTTGTGTGTAAGTGTATGGATCTCTCTGACATTGTACCACAAGGTTCCATATCACAAAAGGAATGCTGGGATTGATTTTGGGGGTAATTGCCTCCAAATTTTAGGAATTAGGGGCAAAAAACAAGCATTTTCCTAGTTTCATGACAATAACTTGTGTTTAAGTGTATGGATCTTTATGAAATTGTACTACAAGGTGTCATATCACAAAGGGAAAGCTTGAATTGAGTTTGGGGGTAATTGTTAATTGATAAACGTTTAGGAATAAGGGTCCAAAAATAAGCATTTTTCTAGTTTCCAGACAATAACTTGTGTACAAATGTATGGATCTCTCTGGAATTGTACTGCAAGGTACCATACCACAAAGGGAAGGCTGGGATTGATTTTGGGGGTAATTGCCTCAAAATCTTAGGAATTAGGGGCCATAAGGGGGCAAAAAAACGAGCATTTTTCTAGTTTCATGACAATAACTTGTGAGTAAGTGTATGGATCTTTATGAAATTGTACTGCAAGGTTCCATATCACAAAGGGAAAGCTGGGTTTGAGGGTTATGGGGTAGTTGCCCTAAACGTTTAGGAATTTGGGGCCAAAAAGGGGCAAAAAAAAAAGCATTTTTCTAGTTTCCAGACAATAACTTGTGTTCAAGTGTATGGATCTCTCTGAAATTGTACTGCATGGTACCATATCACAAAGGGAAGGCTGGGATTGAGTTTAGGGGTGATGAATCATAAGGGGGTTCAAAAAATTGGGGGGGGGGATTTTTTTTTCGTTTTTTTGTTAAATTGGTTATTTCTGATTTATATATAAAAGCAAATAAAAATGATATGGTTTGAATAGGTAAATTAATTTTTTTTAAGTTCTTAGACCACATTCATTCTGTGTCAGAAACCTATGCTGTGTCAAATATTTAATTACAATCCAAATTCAGTGCTGTATCAAGCTTGAATGTTGTGTCCATACTTGCCCCAACTGTTCAGGGTTCGACCTCTGCGGTCGTATCAAGCTGCGCCCCAGCGGAGCATTTTATTACAGAGTTATCTCCCTGTAGTGTTATGTACCACCTTAAGGACCAAAGAAGTTATCAGCACATATCAAAATATACTAATCTATATTAGAATAAAAAAAAAACTGTTTTAATAATATTCAGGTCAGAAAGTCAGTAGAAACTATACACCCAGAACTCATTGCTCAAGCTTGTGGATCCTACAGACGTTGTAAACCTACTTGTGGAGATGTTGATGTATTGGTTACACATCCAGATGGAAAGTCACACAAAGGGATTTTTTACAATCTTATATTAAAGCTTAAGGAACAAGGTAAGCTTTTACAGGTTAATTTTGTGTATGATAAAATCATTTGGGGTCAGTCTATATACGACTTCTACTATAATGATACAATATGTATGGCAATAAATAGTTATATCAGTCCACAAAAATCATATAAAGGCTGTTCCAGAAAATACTATGTCCCCTCCAGGGAAGGCAATTTTTTAAAATTTTATGTGGGTGGTTGTATTTGAAATACCAAAATGCAAAGGGAGTGTTGTTCTTATTTATTTTTAGTCCCCTACCGACAAAGTCAAAGCGGACTTTAGGTTTGCACTCTGTCCTTATGTCTGTCTTTCTGTCTGTCTGTCCATCTGTCAGTCTGGCAAATCAGTTTTCCAGACTTTTTTTCTTCGTGCTTGAAGATATTGATTTGATATTTGGTTTATTGATTAATCATGACAAGTTACAGGTCAAGTTCAATTTTCACGATTTTAGCTTTTCTCTTTGTTCAGTTAAAGCCCTTTCCCTAGAATTAGATTTTTGATGAAATACTTATTAATTAGTAGATTTCTGTTCAAAGGGAAATAACTCATTTTTTAAAAGACAAAATGACATTTTGGATTTTTTTCCTTTTCTTTGGTAAATTGTTTGAAGAATTTAGTGTTAGGTTTGTTTGTCATTCTTGAAGATATTGATTTGATAATTAGTATATAGTTTTATCATGACAAGTTACAATATATCATAAGTTGTTAGACGACTACTATTAGGAGTTATTGCCCTTTGATGTCTGTCTGTCTGTCTGTCGACATTTTTATTATATTTAAGTCATAGGTTTATATCAGCAACATCTGGGACAAGATCGAACAATCAGTGCTACTACTATTTTTAATGGAGTTATGTCCCTTAGAATTATAAATTCCATAGAAAATTGTTTGTAAGCGCTCTCAGGTGTAAATTTCTTGCGAGTCATTTATGAAATTTATGTCAAATGAAATTGATGAGTAATGTTGCGGAAATTTCAAAAATCCCTGCTAAACAGCTATTTTTAAAATAATTATGCCCTTGTAAAAAATAACTATAAATATAGAAAATTGCATTGTTAGCAGTCTCTCACACCTGAATTTTTTTTAGGATTGTTGTGAAATTGTTATTTTAGATTTATATCAGCAATGTCTTATGTGATTTTGAGAATCAGTGCTGATCTATCATTTTTACAGGAGTTGTATCTATTTGATATGTAATTTATATTGAATTGTTAGCAATCTCACACTTACATATCTTATTGATTTCTTATAAAGTTTATATTAAAGATTTGTAGCAGTAAGGTCTTAGAAGGGGGCTATCAACCATTTTACAGGAGTCATTCTCCTGGGAAATAGAAATATATGGAAAACAAGATTGTTAAATGTTAGTAATCTCATGCGTACATTTCTTGCGAGATATTTATTAAAAAGTTGAACAAATTGTTTTTTTTAGTAATTGCCCTTGGGCAAATAAGATAAAAACGCAAATGGTTTTAATGCGTATGTTATACACACACAAACATACAAATGCATCAAATAAAACTTTAATTTAATCTATCATGTACAGGATTTATAACAGATGATTTAGTGTCGAGTGAAAGCGATGGTAATCAACAGAAATATTTAGGAGTTTGTCAGTTACCTGGCAAAAATAGATTAGTAAGTTTTGTTTGTTTGAAGAAGTACAAAAAATAATACAAACATTTCTAAAGATGGTCATTTAACTACATATAACAAAGAAAGTCATAAGAAAACCTTGTTGAGCTCAGAGGCGCTCACACTATACATTTAAAAACTGAATTATCTAAAGTGGAAAGCCGTAAACTATCAAACTATGATTATTGAGATCATGGATCTAGGTAAAAGCAAAAGCTGTTATTTTCAAAAAAAGACTATCATGACTGAAAGTGCTAATGGCCTGCAACAAACAGAAAATGGAATCGTTTGATCGCTTGTAATTTAATTTTCATGTTTTAAAATCTTCATCTCTTTTTTGTCTTATTTATATGATTTTAGCTCAACTGGCCCATAACTATTGCCATCATTAAGCGGCATCTGTCGTCATCTGAATCTTATCTAAAACCGCCTTACCCATTACTACCAAACTTGGGAAGAATGATTCATAATGTTTTTTTTTTAATGTTTTTCTATATTTTTCCAGTTTTGGCCCATTATCTTGTAAACTATAATAGATGGGTAGAAACTCTAAATCACGAAAATGATAAAAATAGGAAAGGTCTACAAAAAAGCATTATGACCTAAACAATTTGGTGACACCTTATAGTAGTTGTCCTTAAAAGATAAATTTTGACTAATTTTCCTGTTATTATAAAGATAAGATGTGGTGTGATTGCTAATGAGAAATCTCTTCACCAGAGACCAAATGACATAGAAGTTAACACTTATAGCTTACTGTACGGCCTTCAACAATGAGCAAATTCCATACCGCATAGTCAGCTATAAAAGGCCCTGAAATGACAAATGTAAAACAATTGAAACTAGAACGGCCTGATTTATGTATAAAACAATGAACGAAAAACATATATGATATACAGCAACAAACTACCACCACTGAATTACAGACTCATGACTTGGGACAGGCGCATACAAAATGTTGCAGGGTTAAACTAGTTTGCTGGTGCTATTTAATAAAGGTTTAAAGTAATTTGTGGTAACAAAATCCCTGACTTAATAGTTAATAGTAATACATAGATTACGATCATTTAAATCAAAAACGTCACTACAGACACAGGCATAGCTAATTGCATTATCTCATTAAATTTTGGACACACCATTGTATTCTAAAATAGCTGGTGGCACTTGTTGTTCTTAATATCTTGTTTACAATACAATGAAATCTTACCATTGAGATCATTCATGCATAGTTATTTAGTACACGGACAAAAGTATGTAGAAGGGAAATTTAAGCAATCTGATTGAATCAGCAGTTGTAGATATCTGCTAAGGTAAGAAACCATTGTTTAAACCAAGGAGGTTGTATGAGTCTCATACATCCTACTTATTTAAACCTAACAAAATAATTTTGTGGTAATTGAACTGATGCTTAATGAAATTGTAAAGAATGAATTACCATAAAAGTATAGAGAAGTATACCAAAGAAGATAACTTTGTGGCATGTGAAGTGTTTCTCCATAAACTTGTATGGAATCATTTAAGAAACAATTATAGTTAAATTTTAGTCCAGTGGTCATGTTTGCATTGAATTTGTTAGACTGCTAACTATGGAATGAGTGTAAATGCAGAATTGGTATGTAAGATCTCTGTCAAAATTACTGCTGTTTTTAAATTCTCGGATAAGATTTTGATGTAAAGTAAATAAAGGGTAGTATATAAAAGGATCATCTATCTTTATCTTCGACTAGTTTCAACATCAAGAAACATAGAAATGAAAAACATCTAACACCTTGAGGATATAATATGCAGTAATCAATTTGATTTTTTCTTGACAGCACCGCCGTTTAGATATTATTATTGTCCCATACGATGAGTATGCATGCGCTTTGGTGTACTTTACGGGTTCAGCTCATTTTAACAGATCTCTTCGGCACCTTGCAAAGAAATGTGGTATGTCACTGTCGAACCATGCATTACGAAAAGACGTTGTAAGAAAGGTATTTGTATTTAGTTGTCTAAATTTTGAGATCATAACATGTGAACATATTTATATTTTGATGAAATGTTCCCATATTTAAGAAATTAAAAGCATGTATCATTTGTCACCTATCAAGGCGACGGGTGCCATTAGTGAGCCAGGAGCTGCTAACGCTGCTGTAGCACCTTTTACTTCAACCAGGTTTTTCGTTTTCTGTGTAATATATAGATTATTCTATTTTTACGCATCACATCTCTTGTCTATGGTCTGACATGTACATATACTCTTTTAGTAATTATCTTTACTGTCCCCAGAATAGCTAATTTTCGTTTTAGATATCGAGCTGAAGTCTGAATTAGAGTTTGCGTTAATTTGTAAACTTTTGAGTTTAAATTGCAGTAAGGTTAAGCGACACTGAATTGGATTATCATTTGACTTCTTGTTTAAATTGGAGTTAGAGTTTGAGTTAATATTTGAGTCAAAATTCGGATTAACTTTCGAGTTTGGTATCATCTGTCCTTGACCTCATTTTCATTGTCCATTGGTCAATGTTAAGCTTCCATAGTTTGGTCCTCTTCTCAGATACTATAAGTAATAGGTCAACTATATTTGGTGTATGGGATGATTGAAAGGTGTACATGTCTGTCATGCAGGGTTCATCTGACCTTTACCTCATTTTCATGGTTCATGGATCAATTTTTAGTTTTCCTGGTAATGTCTGTTTCATAGATACTGTAAGCTGTATGTCAACTATATTTGGTGCATGGAATGAGTGTAAATTGTACAAGTCGGTCTGGCATGTATCATCTGACCCTAATCACTTGAGCATTTTCACGGTTCATGTTTTAGCGTTAATTACTATAAGCAATAAGTCAATTATATTTGGAGTATGGAATGAATGTAAGGTGTACGTGTCTGTCTTGCAGGGTTTATCTTACCTTGATGTCATTGTCAAGGATCTTTGATAATGTTAAGTTTATGTGATACTTGTTGTGAAACCTTTATGTTTATGACCATAAAATCAATCATGGTCAGTAAAGCAGGCGAAACATTTCAGCATGAGCACTCTTGTTAAAAAAATTTGATTGATTAATGTTTACTTTACACTGCATCAGCGCAAAAAGGCTACATATATGTATATTGAGGCGATAAAACAAAATTTAAAAAAAATATATGAAAATTAGATTGTGTTATAGCAGGATAAAAGTCGAGGGGTTTGGTCAGAAAGTCAAATGCCAGATGTTTGGAATTATGTATTAATACATAATGTTAACTCTAACTTTCATAGCATCTTCCTTAACATACATTTTTAATCGAATGATTGATACTGGTATTTATCCATCTGTTTTAAAAAATGCCAAGGTAGCTCCAATTTTCAAATCTGGTGAAAAAAACGTAGTTAGCAATTACAGACCAACATCTGTTTTGCCAACATTATCAAAATTAATAGAGAGACATGTATCTAAACATCTGTATAATTATTTGACAAAGTTTCAAATTTTACACCCTTCCCAGTCTGGTTTTAGACCTAACCATTCATGTCAAACTGCCCTCATTAATATCATTGATAAATGGCTACATGAAATGAAAAATGGAAATATCAATTTGGCAGTCCTTCTGGATTTTAAGAAAGCTTTTGATGTTATTGATCATGAATTTTTATGTAAAAAACTTCAAATTTATGGCTTCCATGAAGATACTGTTGATTTTTTTAAATCATATTTGAGTGAATGAACACAGCAAGTCCATATAAATAATCAGTTTTTTGATAAAAAAGTTTATAAATTTTGACAGAAATATGATTATATACTCAAACTTGAATTCCAATTTAATCAAACTCCAACTTTAAAACAGCAGCTTTGACTCTTAAGTCTAACGTGATGGTTTGCCGCACCTTTGTCTGTAGTATGAATGCCTATCCACCAGATTTCAAATGACGTGGATATAAGCAATTTTAGGTAACCATTCGGCCTTCAACAATGAGAAAAACCCATACCGTATATCTAAAAATAAGATAATGTGGTATGATTCCCAATGAGACAACTCTCCACCAGAGACCAAAAGACGTAGCAGTTAATCGCGTATATTTTGTAGTATAGTTGGCTATGAAAGGCATCAACAAAAAAAATGTGAAACAATCTCAAACGAGAAAACTAATGGCCTAATTTATAACAACACAATTTACAAAACAAACAATATGACATGAACCAACAACAACTACTGAATTACAGGCTTCTGACATGGAACAGGTACATTAAGAATGTGGCTGGGTTTGTGAGCATTGAACCTTCTTCCTTCTCTTTTCTGTAGAATGATTATGGAATAAAAACTTAGATGGCAATGTAATTAAAGGACATGAAAGCATCAAAGTTAAAATTACTTTCGAAATTATATAATACACAGATTGTTATGATAATGTTCCCTTTTTATTCCTAGGGAACACAAAAGATCTATGAAGGAACTGTAGTACCAACTCCTACCGAAGAATCTGTAATGACATGTCTTGGTGTACCATACAGACCTCCAAATGAAAGGGACCATTGAGAAAATATTTCCTAATTACTTATGATGATGTTAAACTGGTAGTAGTGATAAAGCTAAAATGGATAACTGACATTACACAATAACTAGTGTAAACTGTTACACCCACGATTGCACTTGCGCATTGGTCTACTTTTGTTTTCAAACTAAATTTAAGAAGAAACTCTCTGACGGATGTATAATTAGAGGAGGATATATTTTTTTAGATTTCTAGTTACCAATCACATTTGTGTGCACAATTACGAAATCCCTTATATTTGTTTGTCATAGACAAGACACATTATGGTATACCCTTGTCTGTTCGTCCGCCCACCCATTTAAATGTCGTACAAAAGCTGTAAAATGCTATGATCAAATTTCATGAAACTTGTATCGACAAATCCTTAGATTTATGATTATTCCGTTAGTCGTTCCAGAGTTATTCCGATTTTAAATGTCAGATTTGAGGCATGTTCATGGTGGGAGTAAGGTAGAAATGGACTACCTAAATAGTTCTTAACCGACACATCTGTCTTAAATAAAAAATTATAAAGTAGTATAACCATGATAGCAAGCACACATTTTATCACCTAATATAATAATACCAGTAAGTGTAAACTTTAAAAAAGGTTTGTATTTTCTTCAGTATTACATTATTGATCAAAACCACACAATCAATCAGTCACTGTTTTTAAAAAGATGAGAAATACACTTTTTCATTTCAAATTGTCCACATATGTAGGTAAAGGGACTTTTTCCGCCTCCTATAATTTTATTTCAAAGAGGCTAATAGTTTGTACACAACAAAACATACACATGATATCATCTCTACAATGCAGAATATATTACAATACAATATAGGTCTTTAACTGTTGAAAAATAAATCTTTTCAGACTTTCTTTTTTGATTTGTGGTCCTTTCAAAATCTTTGCAAATTCATTTTCTATAATTTATATAAAGCCTTCTTGTGTAAGGAACAAGATAAGTATGCTAGAACTGTGATAAGATGATTAAAGCTGTAAATTTACTGCTTGTTTTAATAAAGTTTATCGACAAGTCACAGGTATTTCTGTTGAAACAAATTTCGCCCGTTTAAAAACAAAGTTGCTCTTTTGTTGTTATGAATCACAGTTTATGGCAAAAGACAATAAAGATCCGTCTAAATTTCCATATATCAGAAAACTTTTATAACACTTTAGGTAACACAATACCAAATTGCATATTTTCAGATTTCTAAAATTTTTGGCACACTTGTACTTTTATTCTAGTTACATCGGAATATGAAATAAAAAAATAGGGGGTCTCCTTTCTTGTTTTCGTAATTTTAATGAGAAAATGTCAATTTTAGCGCCAAATTTATATAGATATTTAGGAAATATGCCTTTCTTGACTTATTTTTTTCAAGGTTTTTCAATGAATGGCTACGTTCTTCTATACGGAGAAGCACCAAAAACTAACATAATATTCAGGATTGTATACTGAATCCATGCATGTATGTAAAACCAAATGTCACCATTTTTTTAATTTTTTTAGATAAATTACTTTTAAGTTGACTGATACACTTAGAATTTGACAGAAATCAGGGACTAAACTTAACGCTCACCCAGTCGCCCAAGGCAACCAGATTTTCGGATGGGCGAGTATATTTTATCATCCTGATCACCCAGCTGGCGACTGTAAAATATTTTGAAGTGAATCCCATTTCTACCCTTTCCCCCGCGATATAAACAAAAACTGTTCCCAAAAGGAAACCTGCTTGTCAAATCAAAGCGGGATAATTAAAGAGAGAATTGACGAAAACCAGTAAGTTCATTTTAATAACCCAAACCCGGTCGGACAACTGTGTTTTCAATACGAAGTCACGATTTGACATACACCTCAATCTCTAAGCATGTGTTCTTAACCCTCTTTTAAATCTTGTATGATTATTTCATTATTGTTTAGTTTTCTTCTAAACTGTTCAATATGCATCGCGAAAGGGATGCATTCCAGTTGTCCAGGGAGTCATTACAAGCCCGTATTAGACATTAACTTGTCCACGAATCGCTTTATACAAATTCTTCAATGAAAAGAACGAAATGCAAAATCTCGTAAATAAATATTGTCAAAAGGTCAACAGGTCAACAGGAAGTAGAAATTGAAGGGAGACAATTTTGGTAGGCAATGTAATAGAATCAGTATTGTCAAATCTTATGATATATTTCTGGTGGCAATAATTCAAATATTATAAATTTATCACACAAAATCTTTACCAGACTCAAAAGCTACAAGTAGGATTACCTAATAAGGCTTAATTAGTATATGAAAAGTACATTTCAGTGTTATTTTATTTGTATAAAAATTGGTTGGGCTCCTCAAATTTCAACTGGGCCCCTGAAAAAAAATATTTTAGGGGCCCAGCTGGCCCCTGGAGGAAAACAGTTAAGTTTAGTCCCTGTTAGAAAACGTGTGAAGGAACTGAATACTAAATAACATTATTTTTACAAGGGAAAAAAGCAGTATATAATATGTTTAATGAACTACAGAATGATTATTATAACCATGACACATTATTGACTTTATTTGAAACTTATGTTGCAAGCATTTTGAACTATGGTTGTGAAATTTAGGGGTATCATAAGGTACCGGATATTGAAAGGGTTTGTATGTATTTTTTTAAACTTATACTGCAAGTAAAAAAGAGTAATGTTGATAACATGATATATTGTGAATAAGATGGGTTGTCTATGTGCATAGAAAGAGAATATAGAATGGTAAAATATTGGATAAAATTATTATGTACTGATAATTGCATATTGATATGATGAAAATTTATGTTTAGTAGCTGTAATAAAAAATAAAATAATAAACAGAACTGGTGCTGAAAAATAAAAGATATTTTTTAATAAATATGGCTTCAACTATGTTTGGTCAAACCCAAAGATAGATAATGTAGATTTTTTTCTGAGACAATTCAAAAAGAGACAAAGTTGACCTTAGATGGATTTGGCTATTTTTTAAGTTCCTTTTTGTTTACTAGTATATAGCTTCAACTGTTTCGGTTCTCAGACATCCTTTGGCTTTCAAATATTCGGCTGTGAGCGTTCCTGATGAAGTTAAATCCAGAAAAGCACTGTGAACGCATGAAATTAATAATGTGTTTTTTTCATTTAGAACTAAGAGCTGATTTCAAGTACAGAATCCTGAGTGTTCTTCTCTAGACTCTTTTTTTTATATGAACGCAAAAAAATTGCATTCGTATAATGCTATCATGTCATCATCAGCGTTGTCGTCTTCAGCGTTGTCGTCGTCCGAAGAAACATTTGGTTTCTGGACAATAACTTTAGTTTAAGTGAATGGATCTCTATGAAATTTTACCAGAAGGTTCAATACCACAAAAGGAAGGTTTGGGATTGATTTTGGGGGTTATGGTACCAACAGTTTAGGAATTAGGGGCCAAAAACAGGTATTTTTGTAGTTTCCAGAAATTAACTTGTGTGTAAGTGTATGGATCTCTCTGAAATTGTACCACAAGGTTCCATATCACAAAGGGAAGGCTGGGATTGAGTTTGGGAGAAATTGCCCCAAACGTTTAGGAATTAGGGGCAAAAAAGGGGCCAAAAACAAGCATTTTTCTAGTTTCCAGCCAATAACTTGTGTTTAAATGTATGGATCTCTCTTAAATTGTACTACAAGGTTCCATACCACAAAGGGAAGGCTGGGATTGAGTTTGGGGGTAATTGCTTGTTTGTTTTTTTTGGGGGGGGTTCATACTTTTTTTCTTCATGATTTTTCAAAATTTCACAAATTTTTTCATAAACAAATTTTAGGGGGGGGGGGGGGGGGGGGGGGATAATTTTTGGGTTTTTTTTCCACAAAAATTTTCCATATTTATAATGATTATTTCTGATTTATATATATAAGCAACAAATACTGATATGGCAGGAGATACACACCAAAAAGGGTGTGTAAATTATTATATATAACAGATTAAGTATTGTGCAACAGCACAGTATTGCGCAATAGCACAGTATTGTGCAATAGCACAGTATTGCACAATAGCACAGTATTGCACAATAGAAGGAAATCTTCAATTGAAAATTAATACAAATCTTTTAACCAATTTCAATGGGATTAAATTCAGTCTTTAATTTTTGGGGGTTCTAACCTTGTATTACTATTTTTGATACTGGCCCCATTTTTAAATTGGTCTACATTGAGGTCAAAAGGGTCCAAAATTAAACTTTGTTTGATTTCATCAAAGACTGAATTATTGCTGCTCTATGATATGCTGAATCTTATTGTGCATTTAGATTTTTTATTTTGGGCCCTGTTTTCAAATTAGTCCATGTTAAGGTTTGAAGGGTCCAAAATTAAACTTTGTTTGATTTCAACTAAAATTATATTTTTGGTGTTTTTTTATATGCTGAATCGGGTGCAGGTCGTTTCGTTACCTTGTCGTTTCGTAACTAGTCGATTCGTCAAAGCTCTTGAAATTCTATTTTGACACTGCAGCTCGCACAGAAAACTTGACAAACTAATCGAACAAGAAAGCGCCATCGACCTTAATTCAATAAAACACAATACAGGTTTTGACACAAACTATTTTGGCACACAGGGATAGAAGGGAAGAAAATCAACTAGCCCTGCAGCAAAATCACTAGCCAAGAGTATGCCGATGAGGCTAACTTTCACTTAACTGCGTGTTTTAATTTATCAGATATATTGTCATTGAAAGTACATATTTATGCATGATACTTGTGGCTGGTGTTTGAAATTAAAGCAGACTTCTCAAAAGATTGGTCTTAAGATTTCAATTTCATCCTTTAAAGATAGAATCCCTCATATGTCCCTGATAGTTAAAAAAAAGAAGGAATATGGTGCATCAGTTCTTGACGAAAAATCCATCTTATCATAAACATACATGGCAAACATCAAACTATCTTAAAATTTCATCGTGAGATTGATGAAAATTTCTTGGCGCCAGTCATCCATTTTTAGCTCACCTGGCCGAAGGGCCAAGTGAGCTTTTCTCATCACTTGGCGTCCGTTGTCCGTCGTTGTCGTCGTCGTAGTCCGTCGTTGTTAGCTTTTTACAAAAATCTTCTCCTCTGAAACCACTGGGCCAAATTTAACCAAACTTGGCCACAATCATCATTAGGGTATCTAGTTAAAAAAATGTGTCCGATGAACCCGCCAACCAACCAAGATGGCAGCCATGGCTAAAAATAGAACATAGGGGTAAAATGTAGATTTTGGCTTATATCTCTGAAACCAAAGCATTTAGAGTAAATCTGACGTAGGGTAAAACTGATTATCAGGTCAAGATCTATCTGCCCTGCAATTTTCAGACAAATCTGACAACCTGTTGTTGGGTTGCTGCCCCTGAATTGGTAATTTTAAGGAAATTTGCAGTTTTTGGTTATTATCTTGAAATTATATTATAGATAGAGATAAACTGTAAACAGCAATTATGTTCCGCAAAGTAAGATCTACAAATAAGTTGTCATGACCAAAATTGTCAGTCGACCCCTTTAGGAGTTATTGCCCTTTATAGTCAATTTTTAACAATTTTTCGTAAATTTTTGTAATCTTTTACAAAAATCTTCTTCTCTGAAACTACTGAGACAAATTTAACCATACTTGGCCATAATCATTATTAGGGTATCTAGTTTGAAAAATTTGTCCGATGACCCAGCCTTCCAACCATCATGGCCGACTTGGTTAAAAATAGAACATAGGGGTAAAATGCAGATTTAAGTTTATATCTCTGAAACTAAAGCATTTAGAGCAAATCTGACAGGTGGCAAAAATGTTCATCAGATTTAGATTTATCTGCCCTGAAAATTTTTAGACGAATCCGACAACCCGTTGTTGGGTTGCTGCCCCTGAGTTAGTAATTTTACAAAAATTTTGCAGTTTTTTGTTATTATCTTAGATATCATTATAATATCTAATATCTAATACTATTAATTATGATTTTAACCTTATTTTACATGATTTCCAAAGCATCAGTAAATACAGGTGAGCGACACAGGCTCTTGAGAGCCTCTAGTATATTGACTCCTGGTGTCCAACGCATAACTTTTGACCCAAACCTGGCATGCAGTTGCATCATAGACTCGGGTGTGCCATCTACCAAATTCAGATCACTCTGAGGCTTCCAAAACGGTCATATTTGCCAGACAAATTTAAATTTATCGGATATTGTCCGACTGGGCCAAACATGAAACGGACATCCTACGTGGGTTTGCAGTTTCAACATTCATGTGATTCAGAAAAATCAATAAAATTTAGAATGGAAGGGGAATGTGTCAAAGAGAAAACAACCCGACCAAAGAGCAGAAAACAGCCCAAGGCCACCAATGGGCCTTCAACACAGCGAGAAAATCCTGCACCCGCAGGCGGGTTTCAGCTGGCCCTGAACTAAAATGTGTACTAGTTTAGTGAAAATGGACATCACAATAAACTCCGAAACATATAATAGAACTAAAATTAAATAAATTGGGGAATATGTCCATGGGTCACAGATGATGCCCCTGCTTGCATATCGTATAAAGTTATAAAGGGACATAACTGAAGAACGGTAAAAGTGACCCTACCCAAATTTGTACTTGATCTGAGTTTTGTAGTAATAAGTATTGTGTATAAGTTTCATAACATTTGGTTTAGGCAAACTTAAGTTAGAGAACGGAAATGAAAAATTCAGCAATTTTTCTACTTGTAAAGGGGCATAACTCTAGAACAGTAACAGTAACACCACCAACATTCAAACTTGATCTGTATTTTGTGGTAATAAGCATTGTGTATAAGTTTTATAACATTTGGTTGAGGCTAACTTAAGTTAGAGAACGGAAACGAAAAATTCAGCAATTTTTCCATTTGTAAAGGGGCATAACTCTAGAACAGTAAAAGTGAACAAGTTTTTCTCTTGTCCTTAGTCCCAAAATTGGTTTCCGTTCTCTAACTTTAGTTTGCCTCAACCAAATGTTATGAAACTTATACACAATGCTTATTACCACACAACACAGATCAAGTTTGAATTTTGGTGGCATCACTTTTACCGTTCAAGAGTTATGCCCCTTTACAAATACAAAAAATGCTTAATTTTTCGTTTCCGTTCTCACTTTAGTTTGCCTCAACCAAATTATTGTGTCATGGATGGATACCCCATATCCTTAGTTATTATATTGTTGAAATGGGAGATAACACCCTCACATGTGGCGTTCTACTCGGTGTTTAAGGTTCGTCTATGTACACATTAACAAATACGGAGATCTGGTATGTATGTATCAAGTTCAATATGAATACTTATAACAAAGTTATAAACACTTCATAATTGTTAATTCACATTTAATCTTGTGTCACGTTTAACTGTACAAGTCTATGGGTGAAATTTAAATTTTTGAAAATCCAATATTTTGAAACATTGAAGGTTTTCTTGATTTTGTGCTAGGGGCCGTCTTATAAAAGTTGCTTTGAGGTGACAGTCTTTTTTTGCACCATGTTGAAGGCCTCACTGTGACTTTGAGATAAAAGCGTTGTACTTTTGCTTTTTGTGTTGTTTTTTTTTTGCTGCACATATACTCATTTTGTGTCATGGATGGATACCCCATATCCTTTATAGTTTTTATAATTGTTGAAATGGGAGGTAACTCTAACAGAACTGTAAAAAAATAGAATTACCTTCATAATATTATAAGCTCTAAATGGAAGACATTTTCTGGAATAATATTCCCTCTGGGAAAAAAGGGTATAGAATATAAATATTCTGATTAGGGAGAAGGAAAAAAAACATATATGATTGAGAGTTCGTGCCATTAAATTTATTGTTTTAGTTCTTAAAATAAATTTTGCGACAAAAACAAAAATAATTTGATGCCTGCGTGGTACGAAAATTTTGTTTCGAC